AGATCACCATTTTGAGTCCCCAATATTCTTCGCAACATCAATTACGAGTCTGACTTCGTAGGAGAAATCTTGAAGATGACACAAACTCGTTGTGTTACCTTCTTCGAGAGCCATCACCCTATCAAACTAAATGATCTGTACCTTCTAGAGACCGAATAGTTACACACGGATACATAGTTACACACAAGTTTGATATTGACAACACTGATACATTTTCATCAATGGACAAAATTGCTCCATACAGACTCTTCTTTCCATGGCTGCGGGTCTTCAATGACCGCTAAACTAGGTTGACATCAAGATGTCTTTCTTACAATGTTTTCCATCTCTGACGCTTCCTCTACTGTTTGAAATAATCCCCAAGCTTGGTTTGAGAGATTCATCAGAGTTGTACAACATTTTGGCATGTTCATAGCAAAGTAGATTCTATAGAGCTTTCATCTACCTCATTCACTCATTATTTGTGTCGATGCAATTATTATAACGTGAGATGATACAGAGGGAATAGACCATCATAAGAAACATTTGTTCCAACACTTTGACACCAAGAATCTCGTAAAGCTGTAGTATTTTCTTAGAATTGGAAGCGCACAATTTAAACTAACTGTTTATTTGTTTCTTTCAATGATGGTATGCTTGGAGACACCGAGACCAGCGCACACTAGTACCCGTATAATACACACTTACAAACACACACACACACAAACTAAAGGGCATGAGGAAACACTGCATATCCACCTTTGCTTTTATTGTTCTGGGGAACGCGTAATGATATTGTCTTGGAAAATCCCAGATCACATCTGAAGACAGAACAGTCCAGTAGCAATTGTGTTCTTGTAAACTCTTTTTGGCTCTTATTTTCCATCACAATTTTTTTTTGTTAAATTTCCAGGGAGGCAAGATCCTTGCAGGCGGCTCAGTTATACAATCTGAAGGAAACTTTGTGCAGCCAACAATAGTAGAAATATCTTCAACTGCAGAAGTCGTGAAGGAAGAGTTGTTTGGCCCAGTTCTTTATGTCATGAAATTTAAGGTGGCTACTATTTCAAAGCAAATTTTAAATTTACTTGAGTAGATTTTTTACCCATATTTATTAATGGACAATAATCTATGAATGCCTTACTTGTGAGCACCCTACTCTTTTTGCAGACATTTGAGGAAGCGGTTAAAATAAACAACTTTGTGCCTCAGGGTTTGAGTAGTTCAATCTTCACCAAGAAACCTGAATACATATTCAAGTGGATTGGGTCAGTATTTCAACTGTAACTCTCATTCAAATTGAGTTTGATGTACCAACAGAAGTTAACTAAATGAAATTGACTGGAATTATTTTCTTATTCATAGTTTGTGTAATCACAAAGCTTCTTATTTAACATTTACCCAATGTATTCATCACGAGGCATACACATTTCGTGAAAGATTATGGTGGTCTTTGATTCAGATAATTTCATTTCTGGGGTTATAGATTACATATCTACTCTATATGCATATGGAAAAAATAATAGAGTAAAATTGAAAAATAATAAGCACGAGATAGTTGTAGGTAAAATTGATATTTTATGGGGTCTTTAGATTTTATAGGCATAAACCCAACAATATACTTGACTACAAATGATAAATCTCATTTGGATTTCTTACATAATACTACATACTCTGTATTATTTATTGTATTTGCTGTTGTGATTATTATTATATCAGTATTCCTATTGCTATTAGTGTGCTCCTATTGAGTTGTTTGAATTTTATGGCAGACCACTAGGAAGTGATTGTGGTATAGTCAATGTGAATATACCAACAAATGGAGCTGAGATTGGTGGTGCTTTTGGTGGAGAGAAAGCCACAGGAGGTGGTCGTGAAGCCGGCAGCGATTCGTGGAAGCAATATATGCGACGCTCAACTTGGTAAGTGCATTCATCTCTTGAAACACTTGTTAGGTTTCACAAGTAACCCTTGAGATTTATTCCATTTGCAGCACAATCAACTATGGGTCTGAATTACCTTTGGCTCAAGGAATCAACTTCGGGTGAAATATATACGGAGTATTTCTTTTTGGTATGTGAAATCACATCTGGATTTACTTACCTACCCTTTACTTTCCATTTTGAAGAACTAATTACCAGCTGCGATGTGCAGAATTCAAATATCCTCGGCTCCTGCTACCACTGAGACACTGGAGTTTTTAGGTTACCTCTCTCTGGAGTTGAATAACTACCCACCCACCCTCCAAATAAAAAAAAACCTCAATGCTAGTCTATATGAAAGAGTCTGCTTGTCTTGGGAGGGGGGGTAGATTGTAGCCACATTGAAACATTAGTCTTCTGAATTATTACAATCAACTGAATTAAGTGAATTAATCTTTCTCAAGTTTGTGCATTGTTTTTCATTTCTCAGCATGCCATCATCTGGTTCCACACATGATAAACGTAATCATCAAAAAACGAAATTCTAGTTGGTGTCGGAAGATTTTTCATTCAGTGTTCTTTTCACCTTTTCAAGAATAGTCTTTCTTAATCTTTAAAGAAAAAAATAGTTGGACTTGCCGTTTTGTTCATTAGTATTTCTGTTTGTGGAGTAGTTTTAGAGCCCGTTTGGTATCACCAAAATCGGCTGATTTGGCTGTTTCTCAGAGCCGGCCAAGAGGCCAGTTTACCTAGGCACTTGCCTAGGGCCTCACTTTTTTTTTGGGGCCTCAAATATAAGTTATGAAAGTATGGAGCATTATAGAGTAATTTTTTGGGGGGAAAATGGGAAATAGAGTAATTTTTTATTCATAGCGGAGGTCTGCGTAGTTGGCTTGAAAGTTTGAAACGAACTAACACGGAGTGTTAAATTTTGTGCTCCTTTGGAGTAATACGAAGTATTCTTTTTGGAAGTGTTTGGATAAAAACTTACGGGGATAATCATATGAAAAAAATTTATGGTTGCAAGTTTGTAAATAACACCGAACTTTTGCTACTCATTAATCACTATTAATCATTTATGTTTTGCAATAACATTTTATAATTGGGATAGTATTGTGTGTTTAGTTATTTGGCTACTAATATTTTATAATTTTAATTGTAATTGTTTTTTTATATTTTTTGTTGATGGGTTTTCTATTAATTACTATCTATAAATATTATTCTAAATATGTAGGACTTGTCATGACAGTTAAATATTATATATAAAGACAAATAATATGTTCAAAAGAGATTTGGTTATTAAATTGCTTTCCGACTCTATGGAATGATTGTAAAGACAACTTTTTCTTCCTCAAAATTGCCGGCAATGATAATGCGATTTGAATTACTATTTCATCTTATTTTTATGACTATGTCTTATGTAAGTGTCACACTTTCCATTTTGACTTTATCAAAATAAATGTCATACTTTCATTTTTGGAAAGAAATCTACCCAAAAGTTATTTAATATATATAGTAAATAGTACAACTACAGTATAAAAAATCTCCTAATTTTAAATTATCGGAAAACCTTAGTCGGAGACTTATTATGATACAAAGGTACCGTTGAAAGTTTTTCGCCTGGGGCCTCCAAACCGCTAGAGCCGGCCCTGCTGTTTCTGCTGAAATTTATGATGTTCCGTCTGAAGTGGCTACATTGGCTGATTATGTTGATTTAAGAAAAAAATATTTTTAAAATATACTAGTATTTTATAAATAAAACAAAGAAAAATTATATGTAAAAATAGTTATAATGGTCATCTACAGTAACTTCAGTCATTACAGTCACAAAAGTAATTCCAACCTTACTTTTTCTGATTATTATACAATTCAACGCGCGAAAGTAAAAGTTACGTGTTTGGTGAAAAAGATAGTATAACACTATCTTTTCTTTTTCTTTCATTCTTTCTTCCCTGTTCTCTTTCTTCCGAAGAGCAGTGGCAGTTGGGGAAGTAGTGGGTGAGGTTGGTGAACTATCAGAGGCGGATACATATGTTGGTTAATGGAGGCACACACATCCATTAAAATTAAAAAGTCATGAGTTTTAGCCTAAAAAAAAATACTATTAGCCTAAATAAATTGTACATTACTATTATATACTTGTGTGCCCCCAAGAAGAACAAAATGTGGCCCCCATTAACTTGTAGTCTTATACGAAGTACTATCTATGAACATCGGGCATATAATTTATTTAGAAGACCACTCTTATTTTGTTTTGCACCCAACCAAAGAAATGATGTGTACAAGATATCATTTTCCCATCCTTGTGATATCCCCAGTGGGTAGTATTTTTCATTACCTTGTGATATTTCAATAAGATTTTATCTATGTTTATAGTGATCTCTCTTCATGAAGTAAGGCTCCAAAGTGATTAAATAGGTGATTCATTCTTTTACGAAAGAAGTAAACTTGCAATTACTTTTAGGTTATTAATCAAAGGTTTAAAATTAATCAATGGTTGAAAAAAGTAAATTTGCTTTTTCTTTCTTAATAAGTTTTTATGAATTAAACCGAAGACTTTTTATTTCAAATTCAGGTCTTGGATATTAAGGATTTGAAGTTTGTATTTTATTTCCTTTTTTCAGTAATGATTAATTAATTTGAAACTGAAAGTAACAACTTCGATGAGTAGCATAAACTATGCTACGTTTTATATATAAGAGAACTTTTAAAATTATTTCTGTATGCATGAATATATTTAATTGCAATATAAAACTTATAACATATCCTGTTAGAAAACTGTACTCCGTATTTTTTTCTATTTGAAAATTATGAATTAGAATTATTACTTTTTAATTATTTAATGACCCAAAGAATTTGACAAATCAATAATATAATGTGAGTGGTGGTGTTTAAGGAGGAGTTTAACTAGTTATATATATGGAATAATAATGTACATAAAAACTCTCACAAAGCAAATGTAAATTTCTTACTATCACTATTACTACCTAACAGATAGTATATTGGTTATACCATGTTTGAAATGTGATGTACAATTTAATATTTATAATTTGTCCCATATCAAATGGATCGAATAGTATTTTTCTTAAACCCACCACCGCATTGAATAATAATATCATAAGCTCAAGCTCTCGGCCGTTCAATAAAAGCATCCCCCAATAACTTTTTATCGTAGATGAAGGTCATCTAGAGACGATGGTAGGGGAAGTTGTGTTTGATAGCAGAGCATGGCGGTGGGCGATAGATGCTCCGGTGGAGATCCGTCATTGACAGAGGAGGTGATGAATTCTATTGGATTTAGTCGAACTGCATTATTGAGAGTGCGAGATTATGTGGTGGTCAGACTCTTTTCTGAAAGGAGAGGCTAGTATTATCAATTGTGGTGGCTTCCTCAAATTCCTTTGATTATACCGTAAGAATTGAGGAAGAGAAGAGATAATGGGGATTTACCGGGTTTTAGCTTTTAAGCGTTATGGTTGGTGATTTGCGCCCCCTCCACAACCGCCGCCTTGAAATGAACGAGAGGTTAGGGTTTGGAAAAAGACGCTCTAAGAGTGCTGCTACAACGTTCAGAAGTTTCTTTTCTCTTGATGTATTTTAGTTATGCGTTTTATTTTGTTGTTTGGTTTATTGTTAAAGTCTGGTAGTAGTATCATACAACATTTTAATTTTTTCATTTATATGTGTGCTTGATCGGACAGATTATAAGTGATAAAATTAAATGTCATAATTTTAGAGACTCTTTAATTGTGTAAACAATGTAATAGCTAATAGGATTATTAAGTTGAATTCAAATTCAAAATGATTATCCTACTATTGATGAGATACTGAAATGAATCTTTGAACAATTGAGAATTGAGAAAGCAAGAAGATTGAATTGTGCTTAAGCTGAGAATGAATGCTTAAGCTGAGATTACAATTGTTCAGAAAGTATATAAACCTAATTATGTAACAAACTTAAGGCCCAAGTAAATAATAAAATAGGTCCAAATAACAACTAAAACAGCTCACAGTAGTTTATTCTTGATACGCCACCTCAAGAGGAGCATGGATGTCCATCATGTTCATTTTGACTCCAAATGAACATGCAGGAGGAGGAAGGAGGAATACCTGCAGTAATCTTGGAGATGAATAGGTAATGATCTTGCTCTTGTGGATTTTCTTTGTGATTGTTCTTCTGGAACAGTAGTAGTAGTCTGTGAAATACTAAAATCATTGGCATTAACAGAATCATGTATATTCATGACATGAATTTCATCATCAATCTGATTTTGTAAATAGTTTGTATAAGTGTTGGAATATATATTATAGCCATAAGAAGATTCATTATTAGTAGAATTAGTTTGATTAAAATCATTATTAGTAGGATTAGTTTCAAGAAAATCAGAAAAATTAGAATTATTTATATAAGGAAATATCATTTCATAAAACTCAACATTTCTTGAAGTGAAGATCAGAATTTATGATTATCAATATCATACAATTTACATCCCTTAGATCCTAAAGGATATCCTACAAAAACACATTTTATAACTCTTTTTATCAAATTTTGATCTATTAGCAGTTAAAGTAGAAGCATAAACAAGAGATCCAAACACTCTCAAATGAGAATAATCAGGAATTTTATAACTCCCTCCGTCCCAATACAAAAGACACATTTTCCTTTTTGGGCCGTCCCAATATAAAAGGCACTTTCCCTTTTTGGCAAACAAAGCAGTGTCAAACGGTGTCCAAACAGTGTTCAAACAGTGCCAAACAGTGTTTAAACAGTGTTTCTCCTAAAAATTGTGTGAAAACGCAAATGTGCTCTTTATATTGGGACGGAGGGAGTATATAATAACTCATAAGGAGATTTATTATTGAGACTGACAGTAGGAATTCTGTTGATGATACGAACAACAGTAAGAACAAAATCAGACCAAAAATTAAGGGCAAACAAGATTGAAGTAAAATGGACCTAGCTACCTCAAGAATGTGTTGATGTTTCCTTTCAACCCTAGCATTTTGTTGAGGAGTCTCAACACAAGAAAGTTGATGAATAATGGCATGAGTATTAAAAAGATGGAAATATAAATTCGATACCATTGTCAGCTCTAATAATTTATATTTTTGCATGAAATTGAGTATTTATGAGATTATAAAAATTCATCATATGAAATTTAACTTCAAATTTAGTTTTCATCATAAAAATCCAAGTACATATAGTATGAACATCAACAATGGTTAAAAAATATCTAAAACCAGAATAAGACTGAACCCTAAAAGGACCCCAAACATCCACATGCACAAGATCAAAAGCAGTAGAAGCATGAGAAGTACTATCAGGAAAAGGTAAACGTTTTTATTTAACAGTGACAAATATCACAAGTGGTAGTTTTATTCATATGGTGATGAGCAGTACAACCAACATGAGATTTCAGTTTATTAAAAGGCAAATGACATAGTCTATAGTGCCATATATCATATTTGTTATCTAAGTATGGAGTACTGACATTATTAGCAATAGAAGTTTTATGTAATGTAAGAGCATATTGTGAAGAGTTATAAATATAAAGTCCACTTTGAAGATCAGCATAGCCAATCATTTGGTTGGTGAGCAGATTCTGCTAAGTAGCATGATTAGAGGAAAAGTGAACAGATATATTTTCATGTCAAACTAGACTACTTATAGATATAAGATCAAAACTGAATTGTGGAACATATAAAATATTATTAAGAGTAAGATTACCATTAATCTTAATATCACCAATATGAGTAGCAGTTATAAAAGAACCAGTAGGTAATTGAACATTGATTGTAGTAGGTTTAAGTGGTGTTGTATATGAAGTAAAATTGAGAGTCATGTGATCAGAAGCACCAGTGTCAAGTATCCAAATAGAAGTTTGAACATTAGATATGAAAACAGTGTGATTACCTAGAACAGGGGAATCATTAGAAGAATGATCATGTTGTAGAACGGCCATAGCAACATGAGCAGAAGCAGGATTAGCACTCTGAGTTTTCATAAACTCAAGGAACTTGTTATAGAGAGTAGGGTCACAAAGATCAAGATCAACAACAGGAGATTCATTTGATGTGTTAGCAAGATGAGCATGAGTGTTTTTTAGCATTTGATGACAGTTTAAAGCCAGGAGCAGTTCTCAAACCTTTATGCCCTTTCCAGTTGGGAGGATAACCAATAACTTGGAAGCACTTGTCAGCATAGTGTCCTTGGTAGCCACAGTGAGTGCAGGTAATGGATTTTTTTTTTTTAAATTAGAATTCTTGAACAAGAAAGCAGTGGAATCATTAGAATCATAGGTGGGGGAATTATCAGAAGGAAAAGGAACATAATGAAGAGGATGTTGAAGTGTTCTTTGAGACTCTTCTTATAGAAAGAAAGAGTAAACAGTAGAGAGGCTGGGGAAAGGAGTTTGAAGAAGAATCTGACTTCTCAAACCATAGTATGATTCATTCAATCCAATAAGGAACTTCTGAACACATTCTTTTTCAAGCAGCAATTGATATTTTTCATTGAGGTTACAGCTACAAAGACCCCAAGAACGGGTAACAAGAGTTTTAAAATCAACATATTCATCCCAGAGACCCTTAAACATATTGTAGTAAGCAGTAATATTCTGAGTTTCAGGGAGAAATACTCCGTATTACCATAGCTAAACTTAATTTCATCCCAAAGACCTTTACCACAGTTCCTATAACAATCGAAGGAGTACTACTTAAGTACGTAGTCAGTGAGATACTCACATCGTCACGACCCACAAGTCAAAATTAAATCATTTTAGGATGTTCTAGAAAAGAACTGACCAAAAAGAGCAACAAAAAAAGAAAAAAAGAAATCGTTCAAAAAAACATGCCCAAATTCCGGCCGATCAACCCGCCAGAACGCATGCACCACCCACACAGCTGACTCTATTTAAGAGGCTGCGGTTATCAAACCAAACACCATTCTCTCATTTCATTCAGTTCCATTTTCTTTTCCTCTCTATTTCGCTTTGTTTTTTGGGTATTGAAATGGCTCAAGAAGAAGATGTGATATTGTTGAGCACCTGGCCTAGCATGTTTGGGATGAGGGTAAGAATTGCTCTGGACGAGAAGGAGGTTAAGTATGAGTACAGAGAAGAGGATCTCAGGAACAAGAGCGAGCTGCTTCTCAAGATGAACCCGGTTCACAAGAAGATCCCGGTTCTCATCCACAACGGCAAGCCGGTCTGTGAGTCAACCATCGTAGTGGAGTATATTGACGAGGTTTGGAAGGACAAAGCCCCTTTGCTCCCAACCGATCCTTACCAGAAATCCCAGGCTAAATTCTGGGCCGACTATGTTGACAAGAAGGTAATAAACCATACCGAACTATCTTTATCGCAATCATGAAAATCTTTGTACTTTTTTGAAAATTTTAATCTAAATTTACCATAATTTGTGGGTCTAGCATATTGTAACTAAATTTCTTTATAATTTGGGAGAGAATTAGGAGAGCACAAATTACCCAAATTGCTGATTGTTTTTTTAAACTGGAAATAGTGATAAGTGTATCAGAAACTTTCGGTAATCTGTATATCTTTTTTATTAAAACGTACGAAAGTTAGCTTTCCTTTTAAGCAATCTCCTTAAATTAATGGGGAGGAAGAGTGAAGACTTGTTCATTTGAGTGAATTGAGTCAAATTTACTGGTCGTGTAGTTTGTATACGTCTTAACTCTTAACTAGTTAACTGCTCTAGCCTCTGGTTTGTCTATGTATCACGAAAACTCTCGGGGAAGAGTATGTTGTTGTTCCGGAAACTCTACGGAAATTCTCGGGAAAGAGTACGTATCCGTTTCGGAAACTCTTTGGAAATTCTCCAAACAAGCCTTTTTTTATAGCAAAAGTTGACGTTTCCTGTTTCCCGTTTCCTCATAACATTCGCGTTTCCGTGCAACATAGTGGTTTGTAACAGTTTACTCGAGTCTTGTACGAAATGGTCTAGCATTGGTTTGGTTTTGTGGGTACTTTCTTTACATAATACTGGAGTTTGTGTAGTATGCCAAGTAACTGAAATAAGTGGTAGTGAAGCATATACGAAAATAGTCTTATGTTTTATTCCTTTTTATGGAACTTTGTCGTATTCTTTATCCTTGCATTACAGTATCTGTGTTATCGCTAAGAATTAATGGTTTAATTTGTATTGATTCTATTTTAAATAAATAGCAATCATACGATTAATGAGATCATATGATGAGTAGATGTCATTATTGTGCTACAACTGCAGGTTTATGAAACTTGTAGGAAAGTATGGACTTTTAAGGGAGAAGAACAGGAAGCTGGCAAGGAGTTTATAGAAGCGCTAAAGGTGGTGGAAGGAGAGTTGGGAGAGAAGCCATATTTTGGGGGCGAGAAGTTTGGGTTTGTAGATATTTCTCTCATTGGATTCTACAGCTGGTTTCATGCGATGGAGAGCTTTGGCAACTTCAGCATTGAAGCTGAGTGCCCTAAGCTGATTGGATGGGCTAAGAGATGCATGGAGAGGGAGAGTGTCTCCAAGACTCTTCCTGACCCTCACAAGGTGTATGAGTTTGCCAAGATGCTGAGAGAGAAGATGGGCAGTGCTTAAACACTACTTATGAACTAATATTTCATCGATAAATAAATATGCTCAATTTCCTTGGGCTCAAATCCAATCATAGCTAGTTTTGATGTGTTGTCAATGCACTGGTTCATGTTTATGTGTCTGTTTGCTGGAGTTGAAGTTGTTCGAGTCTTATGTGTAGCAAAGACACTTGATTGTGTCTGCTAGATACTTGTTGGAATGTATGGAAATCATTTTGGTTCTATCTCGTGTTGGCTACTCAAATTTGTCTTCAAATTGTATGTGGTACGACTGAAAGTTGAATGGAAAAGTTCTTCCATTTTGGCACCTCAAAATATAAAGTATCTCCAAGTTATCATCTGTCAAAGTCACCCGCCTATCAGTCAAAGAGGAAGACCTTACATTTTTACATTTTCATCATAACATTAGTAAAGAACTTAAACTTGACAAGGACTACTATCACACATTCACACTTGAGAATTTGGGACATCAATGGCAAACAACAGAGGATCTCAACGAATAGGTGGAATTGCGAATAATAGGCTCACACCTCGACCTGACAAAATAATGAAAGAGTTATTCATAATATGATCTTAAATAATATCTGAATGAAATAGTTCAGGGTCCACAAGAAGTCTCATTTGAATGAAATTCTATGTGAAACTAAAATGTGAATTTAATTGGTTCATTCAAGCGCCGTTAAGCTATGGGACAATCCACTTTTCTATGGAGATACCTTTAAAAAAACACTTTTACAACCTCTGATGTAGTGCTGGACTCGGGCCGGGCGGCCCGACCCGGGACCGAACCGGCCCGGTCACTGTTTGGCCCGGCCCGGCCCGTGGCCCGGTGGGTCCACCGGTTCGGTTTGGCCCGGCCCGGGTGCTGGGCGGTCCGGGCTCGGGCCCAGCTTTTGGTGAACCGGCCCGGCCGGTTCGGGCCCTGTCCGGGCCGGATTTTAATTTTTTTTTTTTGAATTTTTTTTAAGTTTTAGGTTGGATTAGGTATTTTGGGCCATTTGAGGTGGTTTGGGATGGTTTGGGGTTGAGGGGGAGGGGTAGGGGATTAAATAGGAGAACAAAAAAAAAATTATTGGGCCGGTTTGGCCCGGCCCGGCCCGGTTGGCCCGGAACCGGAACCGGAACCGGCCACCGGCGGTTCGGGCTCGGGCCTCCCCTTTCCTGGCCCGAGGCCCGGCCGGGCCCAGGCCCAAACCGGGCCCGAACCGGCCCGAGTCCAGCCCTACTCTGATGGCATTTCTCGGCTTTTCAAAAAAAAAGTTATCATGATCATGACACAACCGTCAAGTCACAGGCAGGGCCGTCTAGAGCAATTACGAGGCCCTAGACGATCATATCGACATTTTGATTTGATATATTTAATTTAATATAACAATATAAAAACTAGAATATCAAATGAAATAGAAGTGAATTAAACATGAAATGCATCATATAACATTAACGTAAAGAGGGTATTCTTCGAAAGCAAAAGATCCAAAATTGATAATAAAAAAAATACATGGATTAAAACTAATATCCTATTCTTCTAACTTTTTAAAGACCATTTTTCATTACCATAATTGAAAGTGTCATTTTCATTTCCCATATGTGCACTCATTTGTATCACCTACGATTGTGTCACTATTGTGACAACTTACATCCTCACACTCATTTACTTTGGCCTCAACATTTGTATCCTCAGTCTCAACAATATTTGAGGGAGAAGGTTAATATTTGAGGGAGAAAATTTTGATATCTTTTCCATAGAGCCGGCAAGCGGTTTTATGATCACGCCCTTTCTAATTAATTTGTTCTTTCTCTTTGTACATCCCAAGTCATGTTTTGATTATTCCGTCATCATAAGTCTACAACTTCATACAATTTCTAACTAGCTAAAGTTTTTCTAACATACAATCAATACTTAATAGCCTAGGCTCTACAGCCCCTAGTGCCTATAACCTGCCTAACCGACTAACTAGAAAAAAAATAGCAATTCAAGGTAAAAGATACGAGTACTACGTAAACAAACTATATCAATGATTGAAGGATTTGATCATATGAAGCTGTCAGAAAGACACTTGCGAGTTAAGATCTCAAGACCATCACGAACCTTTAGCCGGAGACCCTGTGCGGACTGCTGATGTATGTGGCCAGCGGCCACTGCGGTCTGTGCCGGAAGAATTGCAAAAGGGGCCGGCTATTGGCTATTGCCGAGATTTGCCGATTGCCAAGCAGCGAAGCAGAGAAATCGAAAGGTCGAAGACTCCAAGTCGGGAAGTGCGTCGTCAAGTCTTTGGCTGCTGCCTCACTCGTTAGAAGGTTTTTAAGTTTTTTAATGATTTATTTTATATATATTTATAATATAATAGGCTTACATTAAAAATTGGAGGCCCCTTAGAATTTGGGGGCCCTAGACAATTGTCTAGGCTGCATGCCCCCATGGTCGGCCCTGGTCACAGGTGACGTTTCTCAACATTTCTAAAAAAATACAACTAAAAAGTAAGAGAAAAAACATTTTATACACATTTTTATTCTCACTTTTCATGAGAAGACTACTTTTTGGAAGAAAATATGAAGGCTGCTTGACCGGGTTGGCTTCCTAGTCGCCGCCGGCATCCCTTTGTCAATTACTCTTATATGGTGGGGCATATATTGACCCGAAGTTAAATTAATTTTCACACACACATATAGTAGCGATCCAGCTGTCAGGCCGGCCTGATAGGACCCGCCGTCTGGCCTGACAAGACCCGCTGTCCCGCTAAGGCCATTTGGAGCCCTTCCCGGTTATTTTTTTGGTGAAATGTTTTGAGCATGTTCTTGATCAAGTCTAGTTTATGTCCACCAAATTGAAGCTTAAAATGAAATCGAGAAGTTAGTTAAACAAATAATTTAAAAATATTGCGCTTTATATATATATATATATATATATATATATATATATATATATATATATATAAAGATCAGGTCCCTCCGGAGGGACGGGAGGAACCGTCTGGCCAAGGCCATCAGAGGCCCTTCCCGGTGGAATTTTTTGATGAAATGTTTTGAGCATGTTCATCATCAAGTCTAGTTTATCCATACCAAATTTCAGCTAACAATTCAACCGGGAAGGCACTCAAATGATTTTTGGAAGATAACTGCGTTTTACATGTATATATATAAACTGCGCAGTTAATTTCCAAAAATCATTTGACTGCCTTCCGGATTGAATTTTTAGCTGAAATTTGGTATGGATAAACTAGACTTCATGAAGAACATTCTCAAAAAATTTCAGCAAAAAATTACACCGGGAAGGGCCCCAAATGGCGACGGCCGGACGGCGGGTCCTGTCCCTCCGGCTGGACAGGATCAGGCCTCTATACATATATATATGAGGATTATTTCTGTCCGGAATTTCCGGACAGGAGCCCCGTCCGGCCTCCTTCATTTGGGGGCCTTCTCAGTGGTATTTTTTGCTCAAATTGTTTGTGTATGTTCCTCATCAAGTTTAGTTCATCCATACCAAATTTGAGCAAAAACTTCATTCGGGAAGGTCGTCAAATGATTTTTTCAAGTTAACTGGTCCGGAATATGTAGTTTATGCTCAAATTTGGTATGAATGAACTAAACTTGATGAGGAAACTACACAAAACATTTGAGTCAAAAATACCACCAGGAACCACCTCAAATTGAGGTGGCCGGACCAGTGTCCTATCCGGAAATTCCGGACAGGAAAAGAACTCTCTCTCTCTCTCTCTCTCTCTCTCTCTATATATATATATATATATATATATAGACACACACACACCATAGTTTTTTCAATATCATACGGAGTATTTAATTGACTTCCCAATTGAATTTTTAGCTGAAATTTGGTGGGCATAATTTAAATTTAATGAAAAACATTTTCAAAAAATTTCATCAAAAAAAAATTCACAAGAGCTCCAAATTACCTTGATCGGACGGTGTATCCTGTCAGCCAAATATGAATCGCCTTATATATAGGGAGTTCATATCTGAGATCATACGTAAATGTTGGCTTCTTGCACGCCGGAAGCTTTCTCTTTCATGCTAATTTTGAATGTTTAATTTATTTTATACATGAGTATTATGGTGCATTAATAAAATATTACATTAAAGACATTTTTTCTCCAACACTTCGACTTTAATTATTTACAATTAATCTACCTTCTTACTAATAAAGTTCAACCTTGAAATTGAAATTGATTTCTCAAGTATTTGCTATTGAGTACAATTATGAATTTTAAAATTGCTATTGAGTCCAATTAATTCAGGCCATATTTGCAAGTAATAGAATCTTAAGGCATGTAATGTAAATTATCTAACTCAGGCTATTAATTACAATTTGCTATTATACCTACGTAGGAAAACAAAGGAGTAAAGGAAGATTATCCTTTCCTTTTTTAATTATTGTTTGAATATTCTACCAACAAAAATTAATGAAATCAATAAATTAAAAAAAAAAAAGAGTAAGACAATTAATGCATTCATACGTTTCTTTCAATAAAAGAAGGGAAGAAAGAAAAATTAAGTACGGAAGAAAGACAATTAAGTACGGATACAAACGAGTTCATTTTATATACTTCCTCCGTTCTTTTTTAAATGCAACGGTCCATTTTTCACGTTTTCCAACGCACAAGTTTGATCATTCATATCTTTCATTCCTTATTAGAAAAAAAAAATTAAAAAAAATAGATTTTGAAAATTTGAAATGATAAGGATTTAAAATATTTTTGTTTAAATTTAATTTATAATACATTCATAAATAAAATAGAGTCAAAGTAGAACATGTGAATAGTTGAAAAAGTCCAATGTTGCATTTAAAATAACGGAGGGAGCATTTGATAAAGAAAATTATGAACGTGTTCAGGATTCAGTGCTGAATTTTATATATTTTTTTCAATATATAAAATCATTCCTTTCAATACTTAATTTTATATATTTTTTCAATATATAAAATCATTGCTTTCAGTACTTAATTTGAATGAAAGAAACGTGTTCAGGATTCATGGATTCAAATTTCTTCCAATAATGAAATCAACTTCATATCATACTTATTGTCTTTCCATATGTATATGGGGTTACATTTCAGGTAAGTAGATACGGAGTATATATATAGTGTATAAACTATAACAAACGTGTGTATAAAGTTTTGTACAAATTATGTAGTATGTATACAAGCGTATACATACTACATGGATTCAATATATATAAAAAACGTATTCCCTTGCCATATTAAACTTACATACTCCGTATATAATATTGGTGTACGCTTGACCAAAGAAAACGTATTCCCTTGCCATATTAAACTTATATATTGGTGTACGCTTGACCAAAAAAACGTATTCCCTTGCCATATTAA